TGTGTGTGTGTGGGGTTCAATAAAACAAGGTAACAGGGGCTCGATCAATACTCTTCATCCCACAGCCATGGTTAACACGCTGCAGCTCTTTTACATAACACACATCATGTGGTGAGGGTGGAAATGAACCTCATTGTCTTCAGAGGGGCCACATCCATCGGACTCTGATCGTACATAATGATAAGAACCCCTTTCCAGTGGGTGGTCGGTGGATTTTAGAGCTATAGCACTTCGTATAGAGGGAATACGAAATGGCATTAATAAGTACAGAGCCACTACAGGCAGGAATATTGTTAATGGGATTAAATATGACTAATGTGTGATGGCTAAGGGGGTTCACTGGTTATCAGACGGAATAAATAAGACGAATCAAAAGTACATTAAAAAGTACTTCTACCCAAAGTTACCTGGTGTTTTTATGCCTTACTTGTGCTTTTTACGTCTCTTAATGTCTTGCATATTAAGAATTTTACTTCAAAACATTCAAAGAAAAGTCATGAAATGGACATTTAAACTACTCATGAGTGCCAATAAGTTGCACATGAGCCAAGAACAAAAACTTAAACACCAAGACATGAATTAGATATTATTTACTCGAGACTTTGCATACTGTTTCCCAGCACAAACACACAAGCTATTTCAGAGGTTTAGGTGAAAACAACACAAATGTCTTATAGTTATATAAAAAGCTTTAAAACAACCACTGTCACTATAACCTCCTGATTGATGCACTTCAATCCATCATCCTGCAGTGTGTCTGCTGTAACTCCACACACACAGTCGACGTCCCCACATGGTCTTTCTGTCATTCACACGCACTCACACAGTAGGACAGGCGGTGGTTACTTCACCTGATGCATTAGTGATGATAACTGCATCACCTTATCCAATAATATATCAAACATCATACCTGAAGTTATGCTAACACTTTTGTACTCTTACTTTTCCATGCTTATAGCCTGTCTCCTGTTAACTCCACAAACACACTGGACGTCCCCACATGGCCTTCGCTCACACACACTCTCGCGGTGGTACTTCACCTGGCTGTTCGCTGCCTCTCCTCCCGGTCCTCCAGGTCCCCCTCCTCCGATCCCGAGCTCCGGCAGTCTCCTCCGGCTGAGCACCAGCAGGTAAACCAGCGCTCCCAGCCACACGAGCACCGCCACGCTCACCGACAGCCTCCGACAGAGACGCTTCATTTTCCGGTGGTCAGGAGGAGCCGGCGGCTGCCCGGCTCATCTTATATGTCCATGTCTACACAAGCGAGGGAGAAAAGAGAATAAAACAAAGCGGACTAAAAGCGGACTAACCCTCCACTAACTCGCTCACACACACCGACACACACTCTGTGCTGACGGCAACACACTGAGTCTCTCTCTCTCCAACTCACAGAGAGGCTCGAGCGATCCACTGACACGCCTGACAGCCGCGCGTGTGTGTGTGTGTGTGTGTGTGTGTGTGTGTGTGCGCGCGCGTGCGTGCGTGTGTGGTGCGCAGTCAGTGTTTCGCACAGGGACTCCTGGACCATCCTGGAGGTTTGACTAAGGAGCATGGAGCTCCACCTGCCGACACACACAACTACTCCACTGATGAGAATAAAAAACGGTATTACATGTTTTATTTTTTTAATAATACCAAAAATAAACACACAAGAATAGAATAAAATAATAAAATGAGAAATATGTATTTATCATGGGAGAGATTGTGTGTTATGACAGTTGTTCTATTTAAGAGTAAAACAAATACATTAAATACAAATCGAAAATGTATAGTAAAAAAAATCTGACTTTTTTCATAATCTATGGATTTTTTTCAAATCATTACACGTTTTTTTCAGATATTTAGTGTCAATTTTGAACAACAGAGGGCTCTCCTATCATCACAACCCACCACAACAGCACTATGTCAAAACAGAGGTCCTTTTTTAGTTAAGATTCAAAGAGTGAAAGGCGTTATTGCCATCTGCACAATAGTTACACTGTAGTTGTTTGCAATGAGAGTATGAAGTCCCAGGCTCCCCAAACAATGCAACACATACAATATACTTAATACACAATAACAATACATAAGGAACTAAATACTAGTGACACAGTGGTGCAAGTAAAAGCATGAATAAGTGAATATTCATGTTGAATAGAACAAGCTAAATGTGGATTGAAAGACTGCTCATTGTGATAACAACCAGTAATGTAAAAAAGAGTGGAAAATGAAGACTATGTGTGACGTAAGACTAACATTAATGCAAGTGTTGTTTTTATACTATATTAATATCAATACAACCCCTTGTTTATGTCTATTTAACTCAGCAGTGCCAGTTGGTTTCAGTATCTGAGAGGAATAAAAACATTTTGTAAATATTGATAAGCCTAGGATAGGATGAAAAAAAGAGAAGATGGAAGGAGGAATACATAATACTGGGTTTGAATAGAAGAGAAGGAGGAGAGGGAAGTCATGTTTTCCTGTTGCAGTCACACGAGTCGACAAGTCAAGATAAATACTTTATTTGTTCTAAATAAATGATCTGACACACTGAGCTTTATCAATTAAACACATGATACAAACGAACGAACAAATGATTCTTCTTCTGTGAGAGGTGAACCAGAGGATACACGTCTTTATGGCTTAGTGCGCCATCTAGTGTTCAGAAACACCACTCTGTTTCACTCGACATGTATTATTTGTTTTACTCTTGTTTTGTGTTAATGCTGCTATTGTTGTATATTTTATTTTATGATTTGCCGGTTGGCCCATGTGAGTACGGTTGTGTGTCTAAATAAATGAACGCCGTTAAGTGCTGCGTGTTTGGTGTGTTTTGATTTTATGTTGCGGGTCTCCCCACGAGCCACTACCACTAAGTAGAGGGCGGGTCGTAACAGGTGGGTTAGAGGAATTTTGACCGCATGCTTTGCCCTTTGTTGCCGCCTGAACTGTTCTGCATGTAAAGCACTTTGTGGCGTTGTTTGGAAAAGTGCTGTATAAATAAAGTTATTATAATATTATTATTAAAAACGATAGATCTCCTTTCTCTTTTACTGGCATTGTTTTCTTTCTGTTGCTTTTCGATCCACCAAATTGCATTAAAGTCTACTGACATGTTTTTTTGAATAGCCTTTAGAAATCTGTTTCTCATCGCAATCCGGTCACCGAGCTCTGCAGAACGTTTCTTCCACCCCATAATATACCATTGCTTAAAAATACATGGTTTGAAAATCTCTGTATGGCTCAAATCAAGGTAGAAACATCTCTACGAAGAGCAAGAGAACTTGGAGGAACCCAAGCAACATTTCAAGCATCATAGCAAAGTGTGAATCCTAATAATGTTATTTCTTTTTAATATATTTACAAAAGAAACTCCCTTACTAAATCCCTGTTTTCAAAAAGGCTGAAACATTGTGTGGTGTGGAGGTCTGAATGCAATGTACCTTTCCAGGTGAGTTTTCAGCATCTTCCTCATTTAATCTGATCTTCTCTCTTCTGTCTGGGTGTTTGAGTTCATCAGCGTTGAATATGTGAGGAGAAAAAGTCCAGCTGAGCTCTGAGACAGAAGATGGAGATGACGGATTGAATCCCTGCAGCAGCAAAAGGCATGGGAAACGCATTCAAATGTAATACATGATGGTGAAAAAAGACTATAGGACTAATTAATACTCTAAAACTACACATTTTAAAATACTCTATGTTTTAACAATGCTTTAGGCTCTGTCTTGCCCCAGTTAAAACACTATTTGGTGAATCAGTGTTAGAAGTAATACTCTGACCCTTCCCGCACCACCATGTGGACAAATACTTCACTGCAAGTAAAATAATACCATTAAAAGTCTAATTATAGTTTTGTGTGTAAGTATTAACAGCAGCAAGTATTAAAAGTAACAAGTGAGTGCTTCACATATGTTATGACTCGTATCTGGTTTAGTTGTTTTCATTTTGTATATTATTTGACAACAAAAACATGCTTTTAATTAAAATATACCTTTGTGCTACTTTGTCCTACAGCATATATATGCATATTATATATTTTATAAAGCATTTCACTCTCCTTATGGTTGAAAAGTACAATGTAAATAAACGTACCTTGCCTCAGGGTGACAAACATCAGAGTTGATTCTCGCTAAGTACCCAATATAAGGCTTAGTCCTCTTGCCAAATAGTGAGCCCACATGTATCTGTACTGCGAAGTCTTATAGTGGCTACCTAGTTTACTTCGTCTCCTTTATCAGCCAGCATCCTTGGTATCTGTTGCTCACTGAGTTGATTCTCGCTAAGTAGCCAATATAAGGCTTAGTCCTCTTGCCAAATAGTGAGCCTGATGTATGCAAACTTTGTTAGAACTGGTTTATAAATGGTTCTTATTGATTAATAAAGTGTTTGCAACCTAATTAGAAACCCTCTATGAATCCTTTATAAGAGTAGTCTCATTGTAAAGTGGTACCGAATAGTTAAGCTCTGAAGACGATGCTGCAAATGTCATTAACACATTTGGGTGAAAATTAATTAACTAACAAAATAGGATTGTATTAATCTTTTTGAGACACGGTGCTGAATCTGCATGCAGTGACCTCTCACACTGAGTCATTGTGTGTTATTACTCGGCGTATTGTTGATTTATTTAGTAAATAGACAAGCAATAAGCAGGATAATGTTCTAATGATCGTTAAGCCAATCAGCTGCGTTTTATATGCTAATCCTGCCGTTTTCTTTCAGCCAGTAAAGTGTTATATATTCTTTTTGCACCACACAGGCCTATACATCAGATAACATACCACATAGCATACAAATTAACATATATATTATGTTTTATTATCAAAATGCAATCAAGTCTAACAAAATTATTGCAGGAAAAAACTTTACATTTAAAGATATTAATAATGAACTCTGATGGATATTCTGCTTATGGTTTATTTCATCAAACAAATGTCAATATGGAGAAAAGAAACACAGATTAACACACACACACACACACACGCACACACACACACGCACACACACACACCACATGCTCTAATCCAGTTTATTTTCCTTAGCAGAAAATGGAACACGATAAAATTAAAAAGGAGAAAAAGGACAGAATTATGGTCTTTTTTTTTATACATTTAACTAAATATGCCACTCTATGCTAGGGTGTAAGTAACTCAAACTGATATAAGGTTAAATAATTTGTCTCTAAAAAAGGTAAAGAAAGATATTCCATTTCTTCCATTTCTCATTAGCCCTCAAAACAATATCAAAAGAAGAACGAGCCGCGACATTTCTCCGGTCTCCCTTTATCTCTCGCTGCGTTCTCATGGGAAAAAAGGTGCGGAGGAACAATAAAGTGTGCATGAGGATTAGCATAGTTAAGTTAAGTGGTGTCTGGTTTTAAGGGCTTTCCACCTGAGTCAACTTTTCCTTAAGTTAATTTGCAAAAATCAAAAAAGGATGCATTCAAGGACATCTACCGCCTTGAGAAACCTAAAGTACACAATGCAACGTCAACTTGCATTTAAGGATATTCCGTACCTGCGTTTGAATGCATCTACAATGTGCGCTAAATGCCAAGCTTAAGATGTACATTTGAAGAAGGAAACAAGTTCTGTTACGAACAAACAAAAAGTTGATTTAGGTGGAGAGGCCCTTAGGACGAGAGGTGTGGAAGTGAACAATATGCACAGCACAAAGTCCAACACTCAGACTGCAGGCTGATTAAGAGCGGGAACACAGTGGTCAAATATGAATGAACAAATGGAAAACCAATCAATATAAGAATTTACTTTGGGCATCATTACTGGTTTGAATCTGTGATGTCAGATGAACAACCTCGACAGCGTCCGACAAAATCTAAATATACCGGGGACTGCTGTAACGGTTCATTTTAGACCTGAATAAGGTTCATTAATTAATCAATAGGAAAACTTAACTGAAAATAACCAAACAAATGGTTGATTCCGTTACTTAAGTGGAGATTTAAGAGTCAAACTCTTTATTTTAACTTTAAGTGCAAAACATCTCCCATTTAATCGGCTTTGGGTTCATTTTATTAGCCTAAAACAAAAGTGTATCAATATGACATCACTGATTTAAACTCGATTTGGTGAGCGCTCACAAGCAGAAAAGACACCTCTGGGAGGGACGATGAAATCAAGTTCAAAAGGAAATTATAACATTTTTTTTTTTTAAGAATCATTTTTCCCCCCTAAAAATTAAATGGCGCCCAGAAAACAAGAAATAAATTATAGAACAATTTCAGGGGCATTCGGTTTAGCACTCTTAACTGATCGTCCAAAACCCCAGAGACACTCGGGATGAACGTCGTTTTCTTAAATGAACACGTGGCGTCTTGGAGAAGAACTCTTAGTTTTTAATACAAAAAAATTCAGCCGATTCCCCCGAAAAAAAAAGGAAGGGGAGGAGAGGAAGATCTGCTACACCGAGGATTCATCCTTGTCCATTAGTGTGGTTCTTCTTCTTATTATTATTATTTATATTTATCGACAATCCATGTGAGCAGAGGCAGGGACCGGCTGTATCGTCCTCCACGACGGCAGGAAAAACAGAGCGGGAAAAAAAAAAAAAAATCAAACCATGACAGCCTCCTTGGACTGCGTCACTTTAACACACACTCACACACACTGTCGCCGGCACCATGCACCAGCAGTTAGTGGCGCTGCGCATGGGCCGTAATGTTGGGGGAAGAGAGGAGGAAGAGGAGGAGGAGGAGGAAGAGGAAGGCGGGGTTTGATCCTCCGACCCCCTTTTTTATAACGACCTGAGGGGTACTCGTGGGATAGAGCTCCACGGCGACCAAAACAATTAAAAATCCAGCTACAACTTTCCGTATCTTCCTGTCCTGGGAAAAAAATGAAAAGGAGGAAACGGTGGCGAGGCGTGCATAATGTAACCGGATGTGTTAAGGCCGTGTGTGTGAACATTTGGAACGCACCCCTATTTTCCTCCCATTGGTCGAGAAAGGAGTCCAAAACACACTCCTCGCAGGAAACCAGGACAACAACAGAATATCGAGTTCACACACAAGATGTTACAACCTCCTCCTCCTCCCTTATTCTTCCTCTTCCATCCCCCACCCTTATCTCCATTCGTCCTCTTCCTCCTCCTCTTCCTCTCTTCCTAAGCGCTTCCTCCTCCTCTTCATGGCGGCTGGTTGTTAGGAGCACTCCTCTCCGATGCGTTGGCACGATCGCCCCACCTTGCGGTCCAGCTTCACCATCTTGAGCACGGCCTCCTCTCGCCCGCGGCCCAGATGGTCGAACAGACAGTCGTGCTGCTCGGGGAGGCGGTGCAGCATACAGAACACATAGCCTGGGGAGGAAGACGAGGAGGAGGAAGAGTTAGTGAGGAAAGAAGTGACCCAAATATATGTGCTGTTTTGTACTGGGAAAATATAAAAAATGGTTTTACCGAAAAAGCATCAGAAAAATGTATTTGAAAAACAAGCCTCTCAAGTCTTTGCACTGCTTTACTAGTTAATCGGGAACCTTTTTAGTCCCTGCTAGAGAGCAGGGACTTTCCTGGGAGAAAAAGGTTCAGATTTCTATTGGCTGGGCGAATTGCAAACCACGTCCCGTAAAACTCAGAAAGGTTTTTGTGAAGCCGCCATTTTATTTCCTCGCATTAGCATTATTAGCATTAGCATTAGCCCAGCGCACCAACGGAGAGAGACTAACTTATGGCAACACAAAATAAAACGTGGGAGCGGTGGAGATGAGGAGGTGTCGGTGTTCTGGCGATTTACTCGGGGCTTCGGTTGACGATTTGCCACCCGAAGCCCCGGAGTCCGGGGGGACCCGGGACTTCGGGTGGCAGTATACGCCGTGAAGTTGTTTGCGGCCTACCGGTAAACCCAAAGCAGAAGAAGAAGAAGAATAAGTGACGTCAGTGGTTTCCTCAGGGACTTATTCCGGTGTGAACGCGATCTACTAGATAGTTCCGGGGAAATAAAAGCTCCTGGGAAAAGTACTTTGTGTGAAACAGTGTTAATTTAGGTAACGAAAACTAGGGCGGGGCCTAGCAGACATGCTGCAGTGGACACAGATCTGCCGGGGACGGAGCGTTCAGAGAGTATAGAGACACATTTTGACTAAAATGTAATTTTTCATCGACTAAAAGTTGACTAAAACAACGAAGGATAGGAATTACTCAAATGTGACTAAAACTAATAACCATTTTCGTCTAAAGACTAAATCAAGAACACCTGCCAAAATTAACACTGGTGTGAAAGCGCCTATCGACAGTGAATGTCAGTATTAACGCAGAGCTTTGCATGGTGTTGGTACTGACCGCAGCGACAGGATCCCAGTTCCTGCTGCACCAGCTCTAGTTTGGTTTGGCAGCGGTAGCAGCGTCGGCGGTTCTTCTGCTTGGGCGTCCCGCGGGCCTCCTCTCCTCCTCCTCCATCTTTCTCCTCCGCACGGGGCCGCTTCTCCGGCGTCGCATCGCTCTCAGAGGCCGACGCTGAGGAACACAAAGAAAAAACAGCAGAATTAATATATGGCGGCTGTCATAGGACGGCAGAGATGGCAAAAGTACACACATCCTTTACTAAAGTAGAAGTACTGACTAAACTTCTTTCCTCAAGTAGAAGTACAGATACTCGTGTTTAAAAATACTCTGGTGAAAGTAGAAGTACTGACTAAACTTCTTCACTCAAGTCAAAGTAAAGAGGCTTTGAAATGTACTTCAGTAAAAAGTACCCATAACTAGCAGCTGAGGATTTTCTTCCCCCGGGATTCTGTGATCTCCCCCCCCCCCTTTCCTTTCAATTGCAATGCCCTCCATTGGCATTACAGTGAAACAATATTGGCCGAGCATCAGAAGGCTCTTTCTCTCCTCCTATCCCTCTCTTTTTCTCTCTGCCCTTCACCCTCTTCTCTGAACATGTTTAACTTTCCATTTTTACGTTTAAATCTCAATTTCAGTGAGCTCAGAGAGACATCTTCTTTCTCTCAGGCTTGTTCTGTACTCTCTCTGTCTCTTCCAGTTTTTTACTTTTCAATCTCAATGTGCTCTCGACTCACTGAATCAGGTTCGCAGTAACAGGTGTGCGGTGTGTACGCCCCAAATGGCCCAGCAAGGCCTCCCAGGCAAACAGAAGGTCATTTATATTCAGGCCTATCCACGTACACTTCTTTACTTATTTTTCACCGATATGTAGTGTGCATCCAACTTTATCACAGAGGCTTAGTTATCATCACCTGCACCAGGCCCGGCGAGCAAATCTGAATATGCGTCATTACAAATTAAATATCATTAAAACACCATGGCCAACAGCATTGTGTTACGACACACACATCTCGCACAAATGAACATGTGAGTACTGTGAGTAACCCTAACCCAAGAGATGGCAACACACATACTCAAGTAGAAGTACAGATACTCGTGTTTAAAAAATACTCTGGTGAAAGTAGAAGTACTGACTAAACTTCTTGACTCAAGTAAAAGTAAAGAGGCTTTGAAATGTACTTCAGTAAAAAGTACCCATAACTAGCAGCTGTTTTAAAGAGTACCTGACCTCCCTTTATATTAATAGAACAATAATGTCATTGTTAGCTCATGAATGTTTCCATGCTGAACAACGGCAACATGACAACGTTTTCATTGGTCCCTCTTCTTTAGAGAAGACCAGGAAATGATGGATACACGGATCGTGTTCAAATCAATAGGCACGCAATGACTCTAAATAATAATGATCACGCCACCAAACACACATTCAGACTAAAGGAACCAGCCTGTTTGGAAAATGTGAGAAGTAGAAAGTACAGGTATTTGTGTTCAACATGTAAGAAGTAGAAAGTACAGGTATTTGTGTTCAACATGTAAGAAGTAGAAAGTACAGGTATTTGTGTTCAACATGTAAGAAGTAGAAAGTACAGGTATTTGTGTTCAACATGTAAGAAGTAGAAAGTACAGGTGTTTGTGTTCAACATGTAAGAAATAGAAAGTACAGGTGTTTGTGTTCAAAATGTAAGAAGTCAAAGTAAAAAGTCGTCAGAAAAACAAGTAGTGGAGTAAAGTACTGATACCAGAAAAATGTGCTTAAGTATGTATACTCGACTACTTCCCACCTCTGCCTAACCCCGCTCATAGTGTGAGCTATGGATCTAAGCTAAACCTAGGTTTTAATAGTTTTCAGTGACGTTACAGTGTTTGAAAATACTTTCTTTTGCACTGACTCCAATGCAAATGTAAATTTAACGCCCTGTTGTGCATGTGATATCGACCTGCTGTCTGTTTCTTCAGCTCTTCATTGACTGGACGCCTTCGCTCCTGATTGAAGACCGCTTCTCTCCAGAGTCTCTGAATCCTCCAAATCCAAAGAGCCCCCCTGCTGTCCAATCCATCACATGTAAACACAACAAAACTCTCTCACCAACAAATAATGAGCTCTAATCATTGTCCAATCCAAAAAAACGTGGATTTGTCTCTCCAGAGGAAACTACCTGAAGTCCTATTGATGTGTGGTGAAAAAGTGGAGATGATAGACGGGCACAGCTACACGAAAGAAAACCTTTTTGCGTGCAATACAAAAATAATAGTAACAATGTGAATTGGAAATGCTTTATGCTAACAAACAAAAATGGAAAACATTCTCTTTCTTACACAAAGAAACATTTTTGATACCGAACAAGACGGCCCAAAACACTTACATTAAAACACTATTAGAAACACGCTGTAAAAACACTCATGGAAATGAAGAAACATCTCGCACATGTGTGTTTTATATTTGCATAGTTTTTGAAAGTGCAGCGCATTTCTACTAAAGTAAGTGTTTTGGGCCGCTGAAATGCGTTTGCCCCTGTCGACCACCGTATTTCATTTCATTTTTATTTGTCCCGCTCATGGTACGCAAAACCAAATGTACAATAATTGCCACAAAACATGACTCTACCAAAACACCATTGAGCGAAAAGGAGCAGGGAGAAGAATAANATCTTATGTGACCTGCCCCTTTCTAAAAAAAACTAAATAAATACAAATAGATGGTCTGCCCTTCATAATAATATATATTTATTTTTTCACAGCCAAACATAACAGTATCAGATACTAAGAGAAACACAAAAGAAAATACTTATTTCCCACTTGACGGTTAACGGAAAGAAATAAAACACCAAAACATCACATGTATAAGGAAAAGAAAAGTGCAACACCCTCATCTGAGTCCTACTGGAGAAGAAGGTGAAAAGTGACGCATGGTGATAATAATAACAATAACAATGGCACCCGCAAGAGGAGACATCACATCAAAGACATCAAAAACATGAAGGACCAGAGTACATAGACTTATTCACATTCTGCTTCATATACAGATGTAGCACCGAATTTCAGACTCCAGCTTATAGCTTCCTGCCTACGACCTGCCTCAGACCAGTATTGAGGAATGTTAAGCCCTCCCACTATTTTCCAAGAGGGCGTTGCCAGATTTTCAATTTCAGGTTTTAACCAGGAGATGGCGCTTCATTCACAAATACAGAAAGACAAGTTTCATGGACTTTCAGTTGTGTTTTGAAGAGCATTTGAACACATCAATATTTTAGATCAACTAAAGTATATCTAATCTTGTAATTCAATAATATATAGTCTTTATATATTAAATAATCATCATTATAATGTAAATGTTTACATTACACTTCTTTATTTGTTATGCTCATACTTTAGCCTTTACAATCGTTTGCTTTAATATGTAGTATATCTTTTGTATATTTTTGTGTTTGCTTCCTCCTGCTCCCTTTCGGACACATACTGTATGATTTATTATTATTAATATGAAGATATTATTAAGATAAGATGTTACTTTATTGATTGAACATGTTAGTTTAGAATGTGCTGTCCCACGGTAATTCCAAAGGCTCACAGGTCACATTCCGACCATTATTTAAAACAATAGGTGCTTTCACACCGTCTACAGTTTGATTTTTATAGAGGGAGCTCTGTGGCTGAATGGCCAGCGATTAGGTGTGGCGCATTTATCATAGGTGATCAGAGCTAACTGCCTGCCGTCAGATTTCATTTAAAAAAC